AGCTAATTAATTAATCCAGACAGTTAACTGATGTCTCTTTTTAACTTTTCTTATACAGTTTTATGGTTTTGTTGCTGTAAACCGCTTGATATGTTTTTTGTGGCCCAGCAGTATACAAATATTCTGACAAATAAAATAAACTTGGAGAAAGGCAGGATACAAATCCATTAAAAAAAGACAGGCTAATGGGGAAATGGGCCAGGGGTTCCTTACCTTCAGCTGGGCAGAGGCTGAGGAGGTTGATGGAAATGTTCTTCTGATCCACCGGATTGCTCACCAGGCAGGTGATGTTGGCATCCGAGGCGTTGCGATGCCAGAACAGATGGAGATCTTCCCCATTGTCAGAGAGTTGGTGCCAGTCCGGGCTCTCGTCTAGGGCTCTGAGGGGATTCCCTCTTTTCCAGGAGACACGGAAGTCTCCCTTTCCTGATGCCTGGCACCGCAGGGTTACATTGCAGCCCTCAGGCGTGTTGGAGATCAGTTTATGGGTGACCTGCGGCTCCCGCACTGGCTCTGTTAGAAATGAATTTTTAAAAATATTTTATTGTTTGTATGCCTGACTGCGTTACCCCAGCCACTCTGGGAGGCTTCCAACAGAATATAAAAACACAGTAAAACACCAAACATTAAAATCTTCCCAATACAAGGCAGCCTTCAGATGTCTTCTAAAAGTTGTGTAGTTCTTTATCCCCTTGACATCTGAAGGGAGGGCGTTCCACAGAGCAAGCGCCACCACTGAGAAGGCCCTCTGCCTGGTTCCCTGTAACCTCATTTCTCGCAGGGAGGGATCCGCCAGAAGACCCTCGGAGCTGGACCTCAGTGTCCGGGCAGAACAATGGGGATGGAGACGCCCCTTCAGGTATACTGGGCCATGGCCGTTTAGGGATTTAAAGGTCAGCAGCAACATTTGGAATTGTGTTTTACTTTGATGCCTCTGGGGTTTCACTGACTGGGGGGGGGGGTTTTGGGGGGGGTGCTGGCTGCTTCCTCATCACCATTTCCACATCCATCAGATGGGCTTGATGAAAGAAGAGTGTCAGTTGCTGGAAACCACAGGAAGGAAGAGTTGTTCCCGGGTTCTGCTTGTGGGCTTCCCATGATGGGCATCTGGTCGGCCACAGCAAAGACCGGAGGCTGGACTATAGAGGTCCCCTTTGGCCTGGTCCAGCAGATCCTTCCTATGTTCTTATGCATGTACAGCGACGCATTCTGCAGCCTAGGGGCCACCACCAAGAAGTCCCTCTCTCCATCCCCCTCCCTAGGCCACCCTCCCCAAACTTTTGAGGATGGCAGGACTACCAAGAGGGTCCCGACTGCCGATCTCAACACCTGGAAGAGTCTGTAAGGAAGGAGGTGGTCTTTCCCCTAGGCAGGTGAAAGTGAACAGGACTGAATTTCTCCCACATCCTTACAGTGTGCGAGGGTGAAACAAGTACATACCATAGACAGCGAGGCCGAATGTGTGTGATTCTGTCACTCCTGTGGAAAACGTCACATGAGCCTTGTAGACTCCACTGTCCTTCACCACCAATTTGCTTATTTTCAGCGTGGGGCCATCAACCATTTCCAGACGCTGCCCAAAACTGTCGCTCGTATTCCACCGCACCCATTTCCCATCGCTGAATCGCCCAAGGTCATTTGCCTCGCCTTTTCGAGGGTGGAATATCCATTTAACGATGGACACGGTATTGGCCGAGGTTATATGTACAGGAAGCAAGGCGGATTCTCCCAGGATCCCGTTCAGCTGAATCATAGGAGTCTTTGGTACCTGACTGCTTTCAAGGCCTAAGTGTTTTTGGGGAGGGAAAAATAAGGAAGAGGAAAAAGGGAGAAAGTGAAGGGGGGGAGTGCCAAATATTGATGCTTCTTTTATATCAGGTAGAGCAGGATATCATAATATTGTTGCGTGTTTGCCAGATGGTGTGAATGACTCCTTGAGTCCTTTCCAGTTCTCGGGTCCTGTACACAGTGAGGGTTAGAATGCAATAGACATTGGGACACAATATACAGATGGCAGATTGGGAGAGGCTATGGAAAATAGATTTGAAATTTAAGGCATTTTGTACGCTGAAAGAAAATGATATGAAAATGATGTATCGGTGGTATTTGACTCCTACTACGTTAGCAAAAATGTATAGAACAAGAACCAATATCTGCTGGAAGTGTAAAGAAAAAGAAGGTACATTTTATCATATGTGGTGGAAGCGCAAGATAACAGAAACTTTCTGGGAGATGATATATAATGAAATGAAAAAAATGTTTAAAGTAACTTTTGCTTAAAATAAAAACGCAGAAGCTTTTCTAGGAATTACATGTACTGAGATCCCAAAGGACCAGAAAAGGCTTTTTATGTATGCGACAACAGCCGCACGGACTTTACTAGTCCAGAGATGGAGGGAAGAAACAATGTCGACAGGGAAGAATGGCAAACCAAGTTGATGGACTATTCTGAAATGGCAAAATTAACTGGGAAGCTCAGAAACCAAAAGAACAAGAACTTTAAAAAAAGAATGGGGGAAAATTATAATATATCTACGAGATCACTGTAAACAGACGAAAACATTAGCAGAATTTTAACCACGTTTGTAAAGTAACAAAAATTATGGATAATTTAGAGGGACAAAATATTTGGATAATGAATTGATATGCAGATATAAATATTAGCATTAGGGCCCATGAAGGGGGGTGGGGGGAAGTTGCGAGATTCAGAGTAATCTTTGTACAGTGCTATCTCGGTTTACAAACGTAATGTTCGTAAGTTCTACAAACGCACTTCTCCCCTAATGAGGCCTCCTGCTGCCGGTGCCCTTCCACTGTTCAGATTCCGTTCTTGGACCGAGGTAAAGTTCTCAAACCGGGACACTACTTCCGGTTTTGCAGAGTTCTTAAACCAAATCATTCTTAGACTGGACTGTTCTTAAACTGAGGTACCACTGTACAGTCATACCTCATGTTACATCCACTTCATGTTACCTTCTTTCAGGTTACGTCCCAAGGCGACCCGGAAGTACTGGAAAGGGTTACTTCTGGGTTTCACCGCTCACGCATGCGCAGAAGCACAAAATGATGTCATGCACATGCGCAGAAGTGACGAATCGCAACCCGCGTGTGCGCAGACGCACAGCTGCAGGTTGCATTCTTTTCATGTTGCGAACAGGCCTCCGCAACGGATCCCGTTCGCAACCAGAGGTACCACTGTATATGGATTTAGAAATGATTTTGTTACATGCTGTTTGTTTTTTAAAATCAAATAAAAATTATTTCCAAAACAAACAAAAACAAAGAATGCAATAGAGGTTTCACTTGCTAAATTAGTTGGACAAGTTTCTTTGTAAGAGAATGACCTAAGCTGGCCCCTTAAGTGTCCCCATCAGCATTGCCAAAGAGCGGGCCAGGTTGCAAGAGCCACAACTAAGTGATGGGGACCTCCAGGCTAATGGACAGCCATCAAACCTCTGTTTCAAAACCTTCAAGGTCCACCACCTTCTGAGGCTCTTACCATCAGAAAGTTCTCCCTAATGTTTAATTCAAATCTCCTTTCTTGAATCTGTTGGTTGAATCTGTTGGGATACTGCCAGGGAGACAAAGGCCTTCATGATCCCACGTCGATTCCGGACGATCCATTGATCTCCCGTAGATACAGTATCAGTCAATTAGCGACACGAGCTTCAGAAATAGCTTGCCACATTCCAGAGCTGGTGCACGCTCTATCAGCAGAGTTCGCACAGCGAAATATGCACTCAGGAGAGCATTATTTATTACTTTATTCAGCGTTGGTCAGAACAAAAAAAACATGACTGCCTGCTTCGATGTCTCAGGCACAGAGAGAAAACAAAAGCAATAGACAAACAGAAACTTCCTGTGAGCAGAAAATATGCAGACTCTGTGACTCACAAAGCCTGCTCCCTTTTAAGGTGGAACGGAAATATCCTAAAAGAATCTACCCTCCAGAGCAGTGGAAGAAAAGCTTTCTCCACTTTCCATGTTGTTCCCTTTTGTGGAATGCTAATGGTTTAATTACTCTGGAGCTGCGCTGAGTTACATCAAAGCACTGGAAGTGCAAGGCAGAAATCTGTGCAAAGTTCTTTCTGATTTGTTTGCACATGGTTAAAATTTATGGGCCGAAACTCCTTCCTGTTAACTGAGTGAGCCCTTTCTCTGAGCCGCCTCGTTCAGCTGTAATTTAGCCATCCCCGTTTCCTCTTTCATGACAAACCTCACTCCCTGACTCTCTTCAACAACCTCGCCCCCCTTCAACAAGCAAGCAAGATTTGCAGAACTTACCAAGGAAGGAGCAGATGAAAGTGCCCAAGAGAACACAGGCCATGGAGATTTTGCCGGCACATTTCACAGCCATGGCTGTGCATGTGCTGCAAAGCAAAGTGCAAAACTTTGAGCTCAGGGCTGTGTTTAAACAAATCACGACACAAAGTCAGCAAGAAAGCAGGCAAGTGAAAACAGGGCTCAGATTGGTCATCTGGGATCTGCTGATTACCGGTAGTCAGTAAAAGTGAGTCAGTTTCCTCGCTGAACTTCTGGCAGTCTGCATTACTCATAGACCAAAGCAGAGAAGAGTCCTTATGAGCCATTGGGGTGTGTGTGTGTGTGTGTGTGTGTGTGTAGCTCAAGAGGGGGGGAGTTGAGCAGTTTGTTTATATCTTCTTTCTAGCAGAGACATCACCTTGCCAACAAAGGTCCGTATAGTAAAAGCTCTGGTTTTCCCAGTAGTGATGTATGGAAGTGAGAGCTGGACCATAAAGAAGGCTGATCGCCGAAGAATGGATGCTTTTGAATTCTGGTGCTGGAGGAGACTCTTGAGAGTCCCATGGACTGCAAGAAGATCAAACCTCTCCATTCTGAAGGAAATCAGCCCTGAGTGCTCACTGGAAGGACAGATCCTGAAGCTGAGGCTCCAAGACTTTGGCCACCTCATGAGAAGAGAAGACTCCCTGGAAAAGACCCTGATGTTGGGAAAGATTGAGGGCACAAGGAGAAGGGGATGGCAGAGGACGAGATGGTGGGACAGTGTTCTAGAAGCTACCAGCATGAGTTTGACCAAACTGCAGGAGGCAGTGGAAGACAGGAGTGCCTGGTGTGCTCTGGTCCAGGGGGTCACAAAGAGGCGGACACGACTAAACAACAAAAGGAGCCTTAGATGCAACCTGAAACCTGCATTCAATCTTAACTGCTCTTTCAGAAACTGCCATCGCTCAGTTAGCAGAGCATTTGCTGGAGAGCTGCTGCCAGTCCGTGAGGGCAATACTGAGCGAGGCAGACCAATCGCTGAAGAACATAAGCAGGCCTGGGAAGGTGGCGGGACCAAGAGAAGGGCCTCCCCTGAAGACTTGCAGAGTTTCCCCAGCATGAAGCTTCCTTCCCACACATACGCAGGCCGAGCTCAATAAGATGGGAGTTTCACAGCAGTCTTGCTCCCCAGCAGATTCCAAAGGGAAACTGCAACACCAGATCACTGAATAGTCACAGAGAGCAAACCAGGCCTTGGCGTGTTTCTCAGACGTGGTTCCAGGGACAGCCAGCGATTGCCCACTTTTTCACATACACAGGGAAAGCTCTTTTTTCTTTTTCCAAAAAAAATATATTTTTTCAAAAAGTTTTTTTATTGATTTTCCATATTTATCACAAAATGACATAACAAAACACACAAGAGAAACACACTACACTACAATAAAATTAAACACAAAGAAAAATTATTTCTTCAAATACCTAATTCTCCTTACATTGATAACTGACTTCCTCGAATCCCCTCTGACTGAATTTCATTATATCACCCTATATAACAGTTCTCCCAATTCATATTTCTAATTATGTTTATTCCTTTCATTAACTAACCTCTTCTCCTTTATTAATATTCTAATCCTTAATATTTACTACCACATATTCTTATTCTACCCCTAAGCCTATTTATTAATTCCAAGAATTTTCTATTTATCTTATATCACAATATTTAGCTAAATATTCTTTAAATTTCTTCCAATCCTCTTGTATCTCCTCTTCCTTCTGGTCGTGGATTCTTCCACTCAGGTCGGACAGCTCCAAAAAGTCCAACATCTTCATCTGCCATTCTTCTATTGTTGATATTTCTTGCAATTTCCAATTTTTAGCTAATAAAAGTCTTGCCACTGTAGTGGCATACAAAAACAGTCTAGCATCTTTTTGGGGGCAATTCCATACACAGGGAAAGCTCTTAATGAAATCACCTCTAGCACATTTCAAAGGACAGCTGTGCTTCAGTTTGCATACTGATTCAGGTAGACTTTTCTTTAAAAACAAAAATAGAAAAGCCATCAGTGGCTGGATGTAAACAATAGTGGCTCCTGAGATTCACACCTGAATCAACTCCAAACTGTGTGGAGAGAAGCAGTCCATTGGCAGGGAGAAAGCAACTGCCGTTCTCCATTCTGGGATGCGGGTGGCGCTGTGGTGTAAACTACTGAGCCTCTTGAGCTTGCTGATCAGAAGGTTGGTGCTTTGAGTCCCTGCGACGGGGTGAGCTCCCGTTGCTTAGTCCCTGCTCCTGCCAACCTAGCAGTTTGAAAGCACGCCAGTGAAAGTAGATAAAGAGGTACCGCTCTGGCGGGAAAGTAAACGGTGTTTCCATGTGCTCTGGTTTCCGTCACAGTGTTCCCTTGCGCCAGAAGCGGTTTACTCCTGCTGGCCACGTGACCCGGAAAGCTGTCTGTGGACAAACGCTGGCTCCCTTGGCCTGAAAGCAAGGTGAGTGCCACAACCCCATAGTCGCCTTTGACCGGATTCAACCGTCCAGGGGTCCTTTACCTCTTATCGTCTCCATTCTGATCCACCTGCAAGGACAGAGAGAAACAGAACAAGCTGTGCAGAATCCGAGCCACTCCAGTATGAAGAACCAGCTATGAATAAACTGAGCAGCTGAAGAACGAAGGACCAGCTATGCAGGACCTGACCGGATCCAGATGCAGGCCCAGGCAGCAGCTTAGAAAAGATCCAGGTGACCCAAGTCCACCTGAACAAGTCAAGCATTAATCGAACCCTGGACAGTGTGCTCTGCTACTGGATCAATGAGCATCTTCCTTCCACTTTATCTGTTCTACATTTCTTTTTAAAACGTTTCTGGAAACCATGTCCCACTCATCCAAAAATAGTAAAGTCTGGCCTGTAGGGAAAAAATCCAAAGGGCAATAACTTTATTAGGTAAAGGTAAAGGGACCCCTGACCATTAGGTCCAGTCGTGACTGACTCTGGGGTTGCTGTGCTCATCTCGCTTTACTGGCCAAGGGAGCCGGTGTACAGCTTCCGGGTCATGTGGCCAGCATGACTAAGCCACTTCTGGTGAACCAGAGCAGTGCACGGAAACGCTGTTTACCTTCCCGCCGGAGTGGTACCTATTTATCTACTTGCACTTTGAGGTGCTTTCAAACTGCTAGGTTGGCAGGAGCAGGGACCGAGCAACGGGAGCTCACCCCGTCGTGGGGATTCGAACCGCCAACCTTCTGATCGTCAAGTCCTAGGCTCTGTGGTTTAACCCACAGCACCACCCGCGTCCCATAATAACTTTATTAGGCCAACCAAATAAACCACCTCTCTGTGTGTGTCTCTTTCCTGACCTCTGAGGCAGGTGGTGCATATTTATACACACAGATTTGTGATGAGAAGTTTGTGTCGTGTTTCTTTTTGGGGCTCAGTCCATGTGACTCGTTACGGCTCCCACCGTTCTGGCCCGCGTTGGCACGCGTTACTGGAATTTGTGGCACGGGGCTGTTGCGGGGGGGGCAATTTGGCCTGAAAGGACCATCATGGTTGCTGGACTCCCCACTCCTCTCAGCCCCAGCAGCCAGCAGGACCATTGGTCGGGGAGCAGGATGGGAACTGGGGTCCATCAATATCTGGAGGGCCCCAGCCTGGTTCCCTCTTCCCCTGCTAGGAAGCCTAATTCTGGGCTTCATTTGCCTCCTTCACTTTTAATGTCTTCTTCAGCAAACTTTGAGGTTCTCCCAAACATTTGGAGACCTCCTCCTGGTTTGGGCTCTGTTCCTATCAGTGCATGCACCACCTGATGGAGGGAGTGAATGAAAAGCACCCCAGTGTTCCGCCTGAAATAAATAAGTTAAGGTCTTATGTATATAATAAAGGTTCATAAATGTGCCAAGCAAACGCGTACATAGATATATAGGCCACATGTTGAAGCTGCACAGGAGAGCAGCTATGGAGCCATTTTGACTCCCAGGCTGACCAGGTGTTTTCTCTGCAAGGTCAAATGGAGGAGCCTCCCCATTGTCTTTTCCTTCACAAATCCTGTCTTAAGGGTATGTCTGTGTATGAATAGGGTGAGCTTGTGACCTGGCTCAGGAACTAAATATTTATCATTACAAAAGACTGGCCAGGCTCCCCAGGGTATCCAATCCAATAAGCATTAACAGGTGACTTGCCAGACAGGAGGTAAACAACCCACTCAGATTTCTGCTTTAGCCCGCCCTTTCTGTGATGTAGGTATGGTGTTTCTGGAGGTGGTCTTTGACTCCAGGACGGGCAATTTAAAATGTCTATATAAGGCACACCTGGGTTCTGAGTCCTCCTCCTTCTGCATGTGAGGGGGCACCCTGTTGCAACAGTTCAATAAAGATCAGGCTTACTAGCTGCTTTGCTTCTCAAGGTTCTCTGCTTGGCCTCTGTTTTTTCCTCCGACCGATGGAGAACCTGCAAAGGACTCTATAAGGGCTCTTGTGTCCCCCATAAGGGAATAAGGGCAGATTTTCATTTATTACACGCTGCTCTGCAAGATCACCTCACCTGGTCACAATTCTTGTCTGTGGAGGATCTTCTCTTCTTCCTCTGCTTCTTCCCCATAATGAAGATCAGGGGAGTTCTATTATTCGGCACTGTGGGGTGTAATGAAATACATACAGGTCATGTCACTGCATTGACCAGTCAGCCTCCCTATATCCTCAAGAGAGCAGAGGGGGTGGCCCCCAAATTGTGGAACTCCCCCCCCCCGGCAGAGTTGTACCAAATGCCTTCATGGTAGGACAGAGGAAGCTGCCTTGTCCTTCCTCAGGCACTGGTCCATCCAGCTCAATATCGCCTACTTGAACCAGGAAGAGCTCTTGAGGGTTTCAGGCAGGGAGTCATAAGTACATAAGAATACAAGAAGAGCTTGCTGGATCAGGCCAGCAGCCCATCTAGCCCAGCATCCTCTTCTCACAGTGGCTGAAACCCACAATCAGGATCTGACCTCTCCTGTGGCCTTCAGCAACTGGTCTTCAGAAGCACTGTTGCCTCCAACTGTGGAGACAAGAGTGTAGCCGTTGTGGCTAGCAGCCATCAATAGCAGCCCTGTCCTCCATGAATGTCTATCATCTCCTCTTAAAGGAATCCATGCTGGTGGATGCTGTGCCAGGGGGTTCCATAGTTTGTGTGAAGGAGGGCTGCCTTCTGTCTGTCCAGAATCTTCTGATGTTCAGCTTTGTCAGAGGCCAAAAAATTCCAGTGTGATGACAGAGGGAGAAAACCCTTTCTCTAACCACTTTTTCCATGCCATGTACATTTTTAGTGAACTTCTATTGTGTTGCCTCTGTCAGTTTGCATTTGGTGTGGTGTTCTGTTTATAGTATGCTTAGTGTTAAGCTTTTAGTCTTACTATAAGTTATTGAAAGAAGAAGAAGAAGAAGAAGAAGAAGAAGAAGAAGAAGAAGAAGAAGAGTTTGGATTTGATATCCCGCTTTATCACTACCTGAAGGAGTGTCAAAGTAGCTAACAATCTCCTTTCCCTTCCTCCCCCACAACAAACACTCTGAGGTGAGTGAGGCTGAGAGACTTCAGAGAAGTGTGACTAACCTAAGGTCACCCAGCAGCTGCATGTGGAGAAGCGGGGAAGCGAACCCGGTTCACCAGATTACGAGTCCACCGCTCTTAACCACTACACCACGCTGGCTCTCTCAAAGTTTTAAGTTAAGTGTGCTGCAACTGGGTTTCTTATGGACCATTCTGAATGTATATGGATTTGTGACCATTATGCTCTTTTGCCTTCAGTAGCTTTGCTGAATGAAATACGAATTGCCTCTGGTCTATTTTGGGGGGAATCCTGCAACGTGTTTTAAGTTTTTACTCTGCTAACTATACATTGGGATCTGCTCTGGATCCATATGAGCAGCATTCTTGACAGCCTCTTCCTCGCCTCACTAATGCTGCAACCGTTCTTCATCAGGGAGTTGTTCCATCCCCATCATCATCATTTTGGTTGGGTCCTTTCTAATCTGTCCTTACAATGGCCTAGGCCTGGCTGTAACCCACCCTGGGACCTTATGGCGAAGGGCAGGTGAGAAGTCTTATGAATAAACAAATACACGCATCTTCCCTACCTCTTTCAGACCTTCTGGAAACTATTTGCATGAAGCGAAAACCTGCAACCGTCATGGCAACAATGAACCACACCAGGGTCTTCCTCCATTCCCCTGCAATGAACAAACGTTATTCCTTAGGGGCTTCTGCAATCGAAATGCCAGTTTGCGCATCCCAAGGTAAAATGAGGGTATTAAATGATGAAAATAAGCAAATGGGTTCAATGTGCAATCCAAAACTATTAAGTTCTCCATAGCTTTAAACTGAAGGATTTTGTTCTATTAAAATGTTTATAGATTGCTGGACAGGACAAAGCCATCGAAGTGATAAAAACTCAGGCATTTGGTGCACCTTAATGGTGTGAATTAATAACTGTCCCTGCATGGTATGTACGCATTTGGAAATAGCTTTAACTCAGTAGTTCCCAGAGTGGGTGCCAGCACCCCTGGCAGGCTGCGGAATAAGAGGCAAGGGGGGACAAGGGGGGCACTGAGGCAGAGCTGCTCTGTGTGCTCCAAAGCTAAGCATGTAGGAACACTGAAAACACTTCAGTTTCGAGAGAACAGGGTGCAAATTCTGTTACACACAACAGAATTTCCAGCAAAACACAACTTAAGGTAAAGATAAAGGGACCCCTGACCATTAGGTCCAGTTGTGACCGACTCTGGGCTTGCAGCGCTCATCTTGCTTTACTGGCCAAGGGATCCGGCATACAGCTTCCGGGTCATGTGGCCAGCAGGACTAAGCCGCTTCTGGCGAACCAGAGCAGCGCATGGAAACGCTGTTTACCTTCCCGCCGGAGCGGTACCTATTTACCTACTTGCACTTGCTTTCGAACTGCTAGGTGGGCAGGAGCAGGGACCAAGCAATGGGAGCTCACCCCGTCACAGGGTTTCGAACCACCAAACTTCTGATCGGCAAGTCCTAGGCTCTGTGGTTTAACCCACAGCGCCACCCGCGTCCCTATGAATTATATATGAATGCTTAAATTTCCCAGGCAGAAAATGTGGAGAATGAGGTAGGGGAGCAATGAATTGCTTACCTTCACTTTGGGAAACGCTGGGCACATCAGGTGGGTCACTCTCTGGTGCAGGAACTGTCAAGGGAAAAGTTGCAGCCATCTTATTAATTGCTCAGAAGGATGGACAAAAATGGACAGATTCGTCGTGACTTACCAGAGACAGTGAGATTGAATGAGAATATTTCCATCTTGGAGGTGGTGTATGTCACTCGACAGTTCAAAACCCCAGTCTCGTTTTCCTGCAAGGCCTTGATCCGCAGCGTGGTCTCATTAAGCACGTCTAGTCTGTCCATGTCTTTCAGGTTAGAAGTCCTCAGTTGTCCGTTCCTGAGCACAGCAAGCTCAAAGGGGGTGCCATTTTGGGGGTATAAGTCCCATTTGATCATCAGCACAGTTTTCCCAGCGGTTATGTTTAAAGGGAAAAGGACTGGTTTTCCAGCCATCCCAGTAACCTGATGAAGAGGACCTTTTTCCGGGTTAGCAACAGCACCTAATGAAGAAGAGGAAGAAGAAAAAGTTGAGGAGAAGAAGAAGATCCTGAGAATGAGAACAAGAAAATGAAGGAGGAAAAGGGGGAGGAGGGGGAGGAGGAAAAAATCAAGAAGGTCAAGAAAGAAGAGGAAAATCAAGGAGGAGAAGGAGAAGGAGAAAATCAAGGAGGAGGAGGAGAGGAAGAGGAAGAGGAAGAGGAAGAGGAAGAGGAAGAGGAAGAGGAAGAGGAAGAAGAAGAAGAAGAAGAAGAAGAAGAAGAAGAAGAAGAAGAGGAAATTGGTCTTCCGAGACATGATGTAAAGCTTGGAGAGGGTTGTATTTGGGGCTATTGGTTTGGGCAATATGCTGATCCATAAGAACATGAGAAGAGCGTAGTGGATGAGGCCAATGGGGCCCATCTAGTCCAGCATCCTGGTAGCCAACCAGGTACCCCAAAGGGAAGCTCACAAGCAAGACCTGAGCACAACCGCTATTCTCCCCTTCTGGGGCTTCAGCAGCTGGTCTTCAGAAGCATTGCTGCGTCCAACAGTGGGAGGGAAACATATCCATTGAGGCTGACAACCATCTCCTCCTTCCATCTCTTCCTCTTTGAAAGCTGTGCAAGTTGGTGGCTGCATCTTGGATCATAGGAACATAGGAACGTAGCTGTCAACTTACAGATTTGAAAATAAGGGACCAGCAGCCTCGAAAATAAGGGATCAGCAGCCAAAATAAGGGATTTTAGTCATCCAGCAGCCAAACGAAGCCTCAAGTGGTGGTTCCCACAGCGCAGCAACCCGGCAAAGGGGACACAGCAAGGAAAACCAGCGTCACCTCTCCGTTGGGAAGCGCTGAGCAAAGGTGAGTCCCCAGCAACACGGCCGATTTGATCGGCACAAGGCATGCAAGCTCCACCCCCCAGTCGTTCTTAGACTCCTTATTGGGTGAGCAACGCAGCCAAGCAACACAGTTGGAGCCTCCCTCCTCCCTGGCCAGCAGGGAGGGAGGGAGAGGAGCTGCTTCCTTTGAAACCCGGGAAATTTAAGGGACATCATCAATAAAGGACAGTAGCGGGATAAGGGAGTTTCCCGCCAAATAAGGGACAGTTGACAGCTATGCATAGGAACATAGGAAGCTGCCTTATACAGTCAGACCATTATACTCAGCAGTGTCTGCGCTGACTGGCATTGTTAACATATTAAAATGATAACAGGATTAGGATAAATTCAGCAGTATGAAGTATATGTAGAACGCTTATTTTAAAGCTGTTTTATTATCACATTTTTGTATTGCATTAGATTGTTATAAGGTGTACATTCTTTGTTTCTTCAGCTTGTAAACCACCTTGAGTATTGTAAGATAGAAAGACGGGATACAAATTAAAAGTGATGATGATGATACTGAAATAAAACTAGGAAAGAGAGAATGCAGAAAAATCAAAATATGCAGTGGCAAATGTTTAATAAAACGAACTGGGGGCGGGGGAGACGGGGGCGAGGGAAGTCAATGATAAATGTATGGTTTGTATTTTCTTAAATATTATTGTGTAAATATAAAAATGATTTTTTTGAAAATGAAGAATAACTCCCACCCAGTCAAAGCTCTGTCTGGCCCATCACTTTGCTTTCCACTTCGGACAACCAGGTGTCTCTGGAAACCAAACAGCGGGGCGTAAAAGCATAAGGTGTTCCTTGCTCTCTTCTGCCTCTCTCTGCCTCTCCCCCCCCCCCCCGGCAGTGAATGATATTCCAAGGTAGAGTGCCTCTGAACATGAAGGATCTATTCAGCCACCGCAACCTAATAGCTCCTGAGGCTTTTGAAGAGAGGCCCCTGGCACACAGAGTCTAACAGCGCCTGTTTTTAGGGAGGATTTTGGCCGGGAAAATGGCATATGACAGAGTTAAACTGTTATGTACTGAGTTGAATAGGATCCACAACGCAGTAGTCTGATTGGTCCTAGAACAATAGGACCCAGAATGCAGCAGTCTGATTGGTCCACAGGAGCCACCCAATCCAGCTCCAGGTGGAAGTGAATCCGCAACCTGATTGGCCTACAGGTTAATCCCAGAATTAGCCAATCACATGGGGCCCATTGTGTAAATAATGTATAGAAAGCAGACATTCTAGGAGAACTTCCATTCCTCCTCACCACTAGGAGCTGAATAAAGAGCAGGAAATCCACTCTCGACTCCGAATATATTTCATAAACATATTCCCAATCTGTTTAAGCAGCCCGTGTGATTGCTCATACATTTTAAAGAAAACCTATCCAGGGAAACCTCTGAGGTGAACCTCTGGTAACTCACCAAAGAACAAGCCGATGAGGACCCCCAAGAGGGTGAGGAGCCTTCGCTTGAACCTCCCACAGTCATCTTGGCCTGCGGTGGACAGATAGATGCATCAACAACTTTATTGCGGAAGCAATTTGAAGTGGTGGTTCAAGAAGCAAGACTTCCGCTTTCCTTCTCCTGCAAAGGCACAAAAGGTGGCATGTGGTGCAAGTCCAGGAGAGCCACTGAGGAGTGGAGGGGGTGTGATTTCCTTCATCACGCTCATGTCAGGCTCCATCCCTCCAAATACACTTCCTGTCCCCTTATCACCACTATACAGTACATCCTGCACTTCCTTTTTTGATGCTACATATTCGCCTGCATTAGGGATGCGTGTGGCGCTGTGGGTGACCTCCTGTGATGCTTCGTGATGGCCAAGTGGGGGGGGGGTTGAACCCAGGCATTCTATTTGGGGGGATGACTTTGCGAGGTTATGTGTGTCATAGGGGCTGGCTCTGCCCACCTACCTCCTGCCACCCCCACCACATTTCCCACTTCATGCAACTACAGTGGTACCTCGGGTTAAGAACCATACCGGGTGAAGGTGTCTTCTTCTATTTGTCCCCGTGTCAGTTTCAGCTTATTGGTTAGTTTTTCTAGTAGGGCTGTTTCCCATACTATTTGGTACCATTGGTCCAGGCTTACTCCTGACAGGTCTCTCCAGTGGAGTGGAGCCAATTCTTATTTCCTTTTCTTCAATCCAACTCCCCTGTAGCAACAGCCAGCTTTAAGTTCTCTAGCCAGGCCTCTCCCATTGCATGCATGCGCTTTTGCAAAAGGGCTCTCTTCCAGGCTGGCCTAGAGCAGGAGGGAGTCAGGGCACATTTAACTGACCTGCACCAGAACCAGGAGCAACCAGGAGCAACTCCCAAAGTAGTGAGGGAGACAGCTTGCCATACTTGAGAGCACCTCTACCAGTGGAGAACCCGGTTGTAGTCAAACCAACATCTGTTCAGGGCTGCCCCAAGTCGACTTACTCTAACCACTTCATGGCAAGTTCCAGCGCTTACAGCTGAACCTCAGTTTTCAATGTGATCCATTCAGGAAGACCGTTCGACTTCCGAAACGTTCGGAAACCAAGGCACGTCAGCAAATTCATCTGAGAAAATTGAAAAACATGCAGCGGAAGCCATTCGATTTCTGAGGCGCCTTTGAAAATGGAAGCATTTCCTTCCGGGTTTTTGGCGTTCAGGTTCCAAAGCGCTGGTCAACGGAGAAGTTCGAGAACTGAGGTTCCGCTGTATTTGTCTTGGGGGGGAAGCACTGGACCATATTACAGCCTTTCCCTGATTTCTGCACTGAGTGCAACAATCGTTGTTTAGGGAAGTTTGATTACTGTATTACTGTATTTTAATATTGTTTAGGAAGCCGCCCAGAGTGGCTGGGGAAACCCAGCCAGATGGGCAGGGTATGAATAATAAATTATTATTATTGTTGTTATTAGCTCATTTAAAACAACAAGAGCACTGGGTTAGATGCTCAGGGGCTATCTAATCACAAGTTGCCATCTTTCACATCTCAAGGCTTAATCTTATTCACTTTCTTATTGCCTTTCTATCCCACCCGTTCTCTTGAGGACCTCAAGGTGGCATAGATGGTTCTTGCCCTCCTCATTTAAACCCCACATCAACCCTGTGAGGTAGGTTAGACTGAGAGGCAGTGGCTGGCCCCCAAGACCATGACCTCCTGGGAGCTTCGTGATGGCCAAGTGGGGGGGGGTTGAACCCAGGCATTCTATTTGGGGGGGTGACTCTGCGAAGTTATGTGTGTCCTGGGGGCTGGCTCTGCCCACCTACCTCCTGCCACCCCCACCACATTTCCCACTTCATGCAACTACAGTGGTACCTCGGGTTAAGAACTTAATTCATTCTGGAGGTCCGTTCTTAACCTGAAACTGTTCTTCACCTGAAGCACCACTTTAGCTAATGGGGCCTCCAGCTGCTGCCACACCGCCAGAGCACGATTTCTCTTCTCATCCTGAAGCAAAGTTCTTAACCCAAGGTACTATTTCTGGGTTAGCGGAGTCTGTAACTTGAAGCGTCTGTAACCTGAAGCACCTGCTGAACCTCATCTGCCGACAGGGAGTTCCAGAGTAGGGCCTGCCACCCACAAGGCCCTGTGCCAAGCAAAGCCCTGCCTGAGAAACCCCAAGACGTGTCCCATCAGATGATCTCAGTGGTCAAGATGGAGCACAAGGGATCAGCCCAGCTGCTCTGGGTTCAGTGATCAAGGTGCACAAAGCTCAGAAAGACTGGACCTTGGTGAATCAGCTATCCTTCTTCCCCAGTCCCAGAACAGAACTTACCCTTCCAAAGGATCTGGAGAGACCCGCAGCAAGGAATGCTTGCTTGAGACAAGGGCGGTTATCTGTGCGTCTTGATGTGGATAACATCACCACTTCCTGTTTTCTTTTCTTTTCTTTTTTCTCTGCAAACGTTATTTTGCAATGCTTCTTGATTCAGGGAACTGTGTCGTGAGGCAGACAAAACTGTGTGCGCGCATGTGTGTGTGTGTGTGTTTGGCATTGTCACCAGGAAATTGTCTCACGAGCCTTGCCTCTGCACACCACAAGGCAAAGACGAAGAGCCTCTGCTGCACATTACCAAATGCAGCAATTTGCTGATAAATGTATCCACGTACAGGCTCAGTGGGAAAACTTTAGACATTCATAAGAAATCACCTGTTGTATCTTCTCAGTTCCAATGGCATTTAGGACCCAGGGAAGTGGGTGAGAGCCCACCATAATCACCAAAGTCATAACTAGTGATATCCTGCTCCAAGAGTGTCAGACAGATAACCATCTCAATCACAATGCCTACCTGCCCCATAATGGGATGGTAAAGGTAAAGATAAAGGGAGCCCTAACCGTTAGGTCCAGTCGTGACCAATTCTGGGGTTGCAGCGCTCATCTCGCTTTATTGGCCGAGGGAGCCAGCGTTTGTCCGCATACAGTTTTTCCGGGTCATGTGGCCAGCATGAATAAGCTGCTACTGGCGAACCAGAGCAGTGCACAGAAACGCCGTTTACCTTCCCGCCAGAGTGGTACCTATTGACCTACTTGCACTTTGAGGTGCTTTGGAACTGCTAGGTTGGCAGGAGCAGGGACCGAGCAACGGGAGCTCACCCTGTCGTGGGGATTCGAACTGCCAACCATCTGATCAGCAAGCCCTAGGCTCTGTGGTTTAACCCACAGCGCCACCCGCGTCCCATAGTGGGATAAAACCTAGTCAAAAACAAAGGGGTGTATTTGACTTAACTCAGGGACCAAGGAGGGGTATTACTCAGAAGGGTGGTGGGAATGGGTGAACCCTCCCCACCCTCTCACTATATACAGTGGTACCTCGGGTTAAGTACTTAATTCGTTCTGGAGGTCCGTTCTTAACCTGAAACTGTTCTTAACCTGAAGCACCACTTTAGCTAATGGGGCCTCCCGCTGCCGCTGCACCGCCGGAGCACCATCTCTGTTCTCATCCTGAAGCAAAGTTCTTAACCTGAAGCACTATTTCTGAGTTAGCGGAGTCTGTAACCTGAAGCGTATGTAACCTGAAGCGTATGTAACCCGAGGTACCACTGTATAAGGGTCTGGTGACTTCTGTTTCAGTGTATCTGAAGAAGTGTGCATGCACACAAAAGCTCACACCAAGAACAAACTTAGTTGGTCTCTAAGGTGCTACTAAGGGACACGGGTGGCGCTGTGGGTTAAACCACAGAGCCTAGGGCTTGCCGATCAGAAGGTCGGTGGTTCGAATCCCCGCGACGGGGTGAGCTCCCGTTGCTCAGTCCCTGCTCCTGCCCACCTAGCAGTTCGAAAGCACTTCAAAGTGCAAGTAGATAAATAGGTACTGCTCCAGCGGGAAGGTAAACGGTGTTTCCGTGCGCTGCTCTGGTTCGCCAGAAGCGGCTTAGTCATGCTGGCCACATGACCCGGAAGCTGTACGCCGGCTCCCTTAGCCAATAAAGCGAGATGAGCGCCGCAACCCCAGAGTCGGCCACGACTGGACCTAATGGTCAGGGGTCCCTTTACCTTTACCTTATTCGCCTGCATTAGTGACCTACCCAGTCTTTCTTCCCAGCCGGAGGGCACCAGAGCATATTTCTGGCACCTCTCAGGTGGGCACCATTGCAGGCCAACACTCCCCTCGCCCACTTCTTGCCTTTATGTACTTCTGAGAAGCCCCAAAACAAAAGCTGGCCAGCGCATGCGAGTCTACACTTCTTTTAGACCTATGACTCCATCTGGCTCCCAGCCGCGCTTGGTCAAGCTTTGGAGCGGAGCCAATTCTTTGTTCTTTCTTTTTTTAAATGTATTTTTATTAACGATTTTCTTGATTTACAGAAGTATGTGTAATGTCTCTCGTATTTTTTCCATATAACATTCTTACAAATCAGTTTCATTTGTTGAAACATTAGGAAGAAAAGGGAAAAAGAGGTAGAGGGGGGGAAGGTGGGTGGGGTCAGGTGGCAATGTTTCTATTTTACTTACTATATGTGGGGTTTGGTGTCAGCGTTGCTGGTGCAGGTTCTCTGCTGTTCACTTGTGTTCCTTTGGTGGTGAGAGAGGTTGGGGTTGGCCAAGGGTGTGGTTGTTCATTTGTGGTTGGCTGTGGTGGTCTTTGTTTTCGTGTGTGAGTGGGGTGGGTGAGTGGGTGTTTTGGATCAGGTTAGCCATACTGATTTGTATGCTGTTGGTGGGTTCTTGTCGTTGTCTTGTTGGGCTGTGTATGTGATAAAGGGGAGCCATACCGGGGTGAAGGTGTCTTCTTCTATTTGTCCCCGTGTCAGTTTCAGCTTATTGGTTAGTTTTTCTAGTAGGGCTGTTTCCCATACTATTTGGTACCATTGGTCCAGGCTTACTCCTGACAGGTCTCTCCAGTGGAGTGGAGCCAATTCTTATTTCCTTTTCTTCAATCCAACTCCCCTGTAGCAACAGCCAGCTTTAAGTCCTCTAGCCAGGCCTCTCCCATTGCAGGCATGCGCTTTTGCAAAAGGGCTCTCTTCCAAGCTGGCCTAGAGCAGGAGGGAGTCAGGGCACATTTAACTGACCTGCACCAGAACCAGGAGCAACTCCCAAAGTAGTGAGGGAGACAGCTTGCCATACTTGAGAGCACCTCTACCAGTGGAGAACCCGGCTGTAGTCAAACCAGCATCTGTTCAGGGCTGCCCCGAGTCGACTTACTCTAACCACTTCATGGCAAGTTCCAGCACTTACAGCTGAACCTCAGTTTTCAATGTGATCCATTCAGGAAGACCGTTCGACTTCCGAAACGTTCGGAAACCAAGGCACGTCAGCAAATTCATCTGAAAAAATTGAAAAACATGCAGCGGAAGCCATTCGATTTCTGAGGCGCCTTTGAAAATGGAAGCATTTCCTTCCGGGTTTTTGGCGTTCAGGTTCCAAAGCGCTGGTCAACGGAGAAGTTCGAGAACTGAGGTTCCGCTGTATTTTTCTTGGGGGGGAAGCACTGGACCATATTACAGCCTTTCCCTAATTTCTGCACTGAGTGCAACAATCGTTGTTTAGGGAAGTTTGATTACTGTATTACTGTATTTTAATATTGTTTTGGAAGCTGCCCAGAGTGGCTGGGGAAACCCAGCCAGATGGGCAGGGTATAAATAATAAATTATTATTATTGTTGTTGTTATTAGCTCATTTAAAACAACAACAGTGTGGGAGTCATAAAGCCACGGTAAAGGCTTGTAATATTGCAGGGTGCCCCCTGACCTCGGCTGACCAGCACTCTGAGCTTTACAATGTATTGGAATGTATTAACCTTATATGGTGAAGGGGGCAATAAAAGCCTTGACCGGATGAGGTAACGTGAGACACTGGCAAACAGCCATGCGGCTGGAGAGACACAAAGGATAATAAAAAAGGTGCAGTAGGAGAGGGAAGTTCGATAAGGAGTTGCTCCTACCATCATGAAAATATTGCTGGCTCTCTGTGTCATTATTTTATGCTAAACTTCGCCATTTGTACGGCTGGCTCCGACAAGTGGTGCCCCGTGTGAGGCTGAATAAAAGAATACGTCTGAGGACTAAGAGGAAGAGGAGTTTAAAAGAAAACCGTGTGAGGCAACTTAAAGAAAACAGTCTGAGGCAGACTGAGGCTTTTAAAAGGAAACCGTGTGAGGTTTATCGATCCTAGCAAAGGATATCATCGGCTCACTACGCCCGGAAAGGGTTTCAAGCGCTAATCATCTTAAAAAGATCCCGGTGAGTCCGATCCATTATTTTATATATTGATTTTAGAAAAATGGGCAGCTCTTTGTCTGCTCCCCAACAGAAGTTTTTAAAAGACTTAAAATTTCTCCTCTCCTCCAACGAATTGGAAGTTCCTGATGGTGATTTAATACAGCTCATTCTGGCTATCAAAGAGCATTCCCCCTGGTTTCCTGCAGATGGGACTTGGGAATTGAAACATTGGGACAAGATCGGGGAACATTTTCATGGGCACCCCAGCATAAGTGTTCGGATTTTAAATGCATGGTGCAAGGTTCGTTACGCCATGGGCTCTTTATCACCAAAAAATATCTCTATGGCTGCATTGCCAACACAACCTTCATCTTCTTTAATTCAGCCTGCTGTGTTAGAGACTGTTCCAATACTTGTTTTGCCAGTAGCTCCAGACCCCAAACCTCCAGACTACAGTTCCTCACCAGAGGACCCAATCCTGCAAAAATACCATGGTCTGGCTGGCAATGATCCTGCTCTTTCAGTGGCAGAACCAGCTACTCCTTTTCAACGTGCAGTCCTTGCCTGTTCCTTAATTCAGGATACTATGGCATTCCCTGTTATTGTGCCCCCTGCTGGTGCACCAGCAGGCACCCAAGCCCAACACCAACCTTTTGACTTTAAGATCTTGAGAGAGCTGCAACAGTCAGTAAAGGCCAATGGACTCCAAGCCCCATATACGCAGGTGCTTTTAGAAGCCACATTAGCCCTGCTATTGGTTCCAGAGGACATCAAGCTTTTGGCCCATACTGTGTTACCCCCATCAGCTGGTGTTTTGTTTGCCCACGAATGGGAAACTGCCTGCCGTGCTTATGCTCCAGCCTTGTTACAACAAGTCAGAGGAAATAATCCAAATGTTACCCTCGCAGACGTCTTAGATGCCATGTTGGGGTGTGGTCCCTTCGCTCAAGCTTCAGTGCAAGCCACACTGCTGCAAATCTTATTGAGGGACACTGCTCTTGCTGCTAAACAAGCAATGAGAAAATCCCAGAACCCACCAGTATTCAATCAAGGTGGGGTTCAATCAGGCAAGAGGCAAGAGAATCATATTCTTCCTTTATGGATAGGCTGCTTACAGCAGTGAGTCGCCAAATTGAAAATCATGAAGCCAAACAAATAATCATCAAACAATTGGCCTTTGAAAATGCCAATGAGGATTGTAAACTTGCATTGCGACCGATAATACACAATCCTGCCACAGACACAGCAGCCAGGCTTCGCATTTGTCAGTCTGTCGGAACAGCCAGCCACAAGGCTTATCTGCTGGCAGCAGCGCTAAATGAAAACCAGCCTGTAGCCACCGATACAACTTGTTTCCAGGGTGGCAAACCAGGATCACCGATACCCCAGTGGGGGTAGAACAGTGGCCTCTACCAAAGAAAAATCCGCAGCAGCGGCACCAGCTATCTCTGAACAGCTTATTTCTGAACAATTGACTTTCGGCCACATTGAACCATCTTCATCCCACTGGCTCCAGCAGACAGGGAACAGTTTGCTTTTACATTGCCAGTATATAACAATTCGCAGCCCACCCAGCGATATCAGTGGGTTGTCCTGCCTCAAGGCATGCAGAACTCCCCTACACTTTGTCAACATTTTGTGGGTGAAGCATTGAAACCTTTCCACATGCGCCACCTAGAGGTGCTGCACACAAACTGCATCTGGCAGTGTTTGCCTTCCTAACCATTTGCCTTGCCATCCTTTGCTGCACCGTTATACAAGGAAGAGAAGCAGACGACCAGTCCAGTTGAAACCACCATATTTCACCTCATCGGCTGGCAAGCAGCTGTCACCTGAATCCTACTCTGGCTGGCAGTATCCACGGCTCAGCCACTTTTGAACTAGAAGAACAGCGTTGTTGAATAAGACTTTTAGGGGAGAAAATTATCATAAGATATGGAGGAATAATATTTTTGTACAAGATATGATTATGTTTACCGGTTTATTGCATGCTTCTAAATGTTGGGTGTGTATGCCAGTCATTCCGGCATAGTGCTTCATGGTGTGCCTGTCAATGGATCTTTTCAATTTACTAATATTATATCCCCTAAGCCTCCAGTACAATTGACCCTCCATGAGCCTCCCCCCATTTATTTTCAAATTAAGGAGGGGAAAGAATCATGGGGCATATATCCAAACTGTCAATATACATTGAATTTCACTTTTAATAGCTCTTGTTCTCTTACAGGAATATACAGTGACCAATCTCAGTGCTATAGGAGTGACACCAGTGCATGGCTATTAAACTAAAAGGAAGCCTACCATGCAGCTTGGAATCAGAATTCTTATATTCTTGGCTTCCGGATTTTAGTGATCATTATAGTAGTTATTGATTTTAGTGATCATTATAGTAGTTATTTGCATTATTTTGTGTTGCTGTATCCAATGTATTCTTTCTTTAATTTCTATATGTACTGCATGGTTCTCCAGTCCGCGGCCCGCTTCCGGTGTCAAAGAGTCGCTTATCGCGTATTGACTCTGATATAAAATAAAGGAAGAGGGCATGTGGGAGTCATAAAGCCACGGTAAAGGCTTGTAATATTCAAGTTCAAGTTCAAGTTTATTGCGGCCAAAGCCAGTAACACTAGACACCATAAGATCAGACAACAAAAAATCAGCAACAACTTCAGAAAAGAAAAAAGGTTACACAAGAGAACTTCACAGTGTGCCATTCAACAGAAGAGATTTACGCTTCTTAATTACTAAAGTGCAAAATTTAGCCACCTCATATGATACTAAGCTTGAGGAGTCTTCCAGGAGGTATTTTCGAAGAATTTCAGGGGAGGATTCCAAATAATATTGAAGGGGTATAAATTTTGATAGAAGCGGTAAAATAAGTTGAACTCGTTCTTCACTATAGAATTCGCAAGATAGAAGAATGTGTGTGACAGATTCTACCTTATTAGACATACAAGGGCAGAGACGCGCATGCATTGGAACTCGCGTGAATTTGCCGTACAGCACTGCTGAGGGCATTGTCTCAAAGCGGGCTCTAGAGAAAGCCCATCTATAGGTTTCGTTAGTGATGTTAGTTAAGTAAGGGGCAGCTGCAAAATTAGGCCAAGCTTTTAAACATCTATACGTCTCTGGGAGTAGGGCGCCTTCTTGTTGTAATTCGATATCATAAAGTCTCCGAGTGATAGTAGCTTTTGCCTTGTTCAGAGTTCCAATAAAAATATTTTCAGGGTTTAGGCCAATTTGTTTGATCTTGTTAGTTATTTGCATAAGCCAAGGAGGATAGGGAACTGCGGCCAGGAAGCAAGGTAATAGACCCTTAGGATTGTAATGGATTTTCAGCCAGAGGGATATTGCTTGTTCCCAGACTTTTAATTCCACTCTGGGCAGTCCTGCCTCTTGCCTTAAGACTGCATTAGGTGTACACTTAGGAGTAGCAAATAATGATCTTAAGAATTTAGATTGTACTGTTTCAAGGGTCTTAAGGTTGGCAGAGGGGCTAATTTGAGAGCCATATAGAAGTTGGGCTAAAGATTTTGCCTGAAAGACTGTTAGGGCCATCGGGAGGAAGCCAGCTCCTTTCCTTCTGAATAATCTAAGGATAGCATTTGCACTTCTTTCTGCTGATATAGCTGATGTGGTCAAGTGTGTTGAGAATTTGGCATTATAAGAGAAAGTAATGCCTAAGTATTGGAAGGTCTTAGTCTGTTCAATGGCGTTTCCTTTACGCTCCAATTATCCTTCCTAGAGGAGCGGTTAAAATGTACAATTTTGGTTTTGGCAAAGTTAATTGTTAACAGTTCAGTGTTACATTGGTCACTAAACTTTCCTAAGGCACGTTTCAGACCCACTTTGGTTTGAGAGAGAAGAACAGCGTCATCCGCATACATTAAAATTGGTACTTTTCTGCCATTAGAGAACACAGGGGGGTGGGTTTCAATTTCACGACAGCATGTAACCAGGGAGTTAACATAGATATTAAATAGGAATGGGGCTAATAGGCATCCTTGTCTAACTCCTCTTTGAACTAGGATTTCTCTAGAGAGTCTGCCGTCCTGTGCAAGTCTTATCTGGAGGGTATTGTTCTCATGAAGCTTAATCATCAGAAGTAATAACCTTCTGTTAATACCCATATTGGCCAATTTGGCCCAGAGCCTGCTCCTGGATACAGAATCAAATGCTGCCTTTAAGTCCACAAAGGCCGCATATAATGACTTTTCCAATATTTCGCATACTTATAGACAAAGTAATCTAACACTAAGCAGTGATCAATGGTGGAACGTCCGGATGTAAACCCTGCTTGTTCAATTTCTAGCAAGTTATTATGATCTAACCATTCCCATAATTTTAGGCATAGATGTTTTGTATAAAGTTTACAGATCACATTCAGGAGACTAATTGGTCTATAATTAGATGGATCAGAGGGGTTGCCCTTTTTAAATATGGGAACAATTATAGCTAGTCCCCAATCTTTAGGGATTTCAGTTGTCTTATCTATATATGAAAATAGATTAGCAAGGACCGGGGCCCACCAGTTTATTTGCGCTTTCAGAAGTTCAGCGACAATGAAATCACTTCCTGGGGCTTTGCCAGATTTCATTTGTAGAATTAGCGAAGTGATTTCAGTTTCAGATGTTGGGGGCCATGGTGTATCATTATCTAAGGGGATGTTAAGCGGCGCAGAAGGACGATGTTCCCTAAACAGCACTTTATAGTGCTCTTCCCATGAATTTGCAGGGATTATTGTGCCCTCATTAGGAGCTTTGGTTTGACTGGAGATAATTTTCCAGAAGTTGGAATTGTCT